GGTAAAAAACCTACTACTAGATCTCATAGTGTTCAATATACATACTTTGTACATACCCCCAACGGAAGCTATCCCTGTCCAGCAGCCAACACTCACAGCAAGAAGACGCCTGGATTTGATGTCCGACGTAAGCACAAAGCTACGTGGAGTTTGTGGCAAGATATTATCTCCCACGCCTGGTATTTATCAGGCCGTGGGTTCGATCCCGACCCTGACACCTGTATGAATGTTTGAATGTCTCTCTCTCTCTCGCTCCCCGTGGTCTCGTGGATTTTTTCCGGGTCCTCCGTTTCTTCCCTATACATTTAGAATCAACATGAGTTTAGAGTATTTGGCTGCTCCTAATTTCCACATGATAAGACACTTCGTTGAACTTTAATTTGTGGCCAGGTTGCTTCTGAAAAATAGCTAGAAAGCTTTACCTAGTAAAATAAAAATAGAAACATATTTTAAATCGTTTTATGCTCCAGTCATCAGGGATGTATGTTGATATATGTTGAACTTCTTTTGCTTATTGGAGGTGGGGTATGATAATCCAAGATGGTAATGTGTGCTTCTATGGGTCTCTTTGCGATTCTATGGGTCTCTGTGCGATTCTGTGAGTCTCAATTTGAATCTATGGATCTCTGTTGTGAGTCTATGGGATGACGTGTCTCTATGGGATTTTCTGTGTCTCTATGTGAGTCTATGTATCTATGTGTGAGTCTATTTGATGCAGTGTCTCTGTGTGAGTCTCTGGGTATCTGTTCGAGTAAATGGTTATCTGTGTCTCTATACGAGTCTGTATCTCTATGAGGGTAGCTGGGTCTCTGTGCGAGTCTATGTGTCTCTGTATGGGTCTATGGGTCTATGTACAAGTCCCTGTGTCTCTGTGAATCTATGCGAGTATCTGTGTCTCTCTGTGAGTCAATTGGTCTATGTGTGAGACTCTGTGTCTCTCCATATGAGTCTGTGTCTCTATGAGAGTATATGGGTCTCTGTGTGAGTCTCTGTGTCTTTATGTGAGTCTATGGGTCTTTGTGTAATTCCTAGGGCTCTCTTTGTGAGTGTATTATGTTATACTTATTTCACATCGTACGTATACAACCGTGTTACTCGGAGAAGTTCTAAAAAAATCAGTTTTCAATCTGGATTTAAAAGTGCATAGCTCCAGTGGCTTCCTAATATCAGAAGGAAGAGCATTCCAGATGACCGCAGAAGCGCATCTAAAAGCACACGATGTGGTGGAGCTGCTTCGCACCACCATCATAATATTTTCCCATCATAAGAAATAAACTAAACTAAACTATTTTATTTCACCATGTAAGGCCCACTGAGCTGTATAGCTCTTTTTTCTAAGTGACCTAGCCACAAACGATAGCTCAACAAAGTGGCTTATCATGTAGAAATTCAGAGAAGCCAAATACTCTAAACCAGGGGTCCTCAAACTACGGCCCGCGGGCCACATGCGGCCCACCGAGGGCATTTATCCGGCCCATGGTCACTAATTGGGCTGCTCTTGTGAGCACTAATTGGGCTGCGCTGGTGAGCACTAATTGGGCTGCGCTGGTGAGCACTCATTGGGCTGCGGTGGTGGGCACTGATTGGGCTGCGGTGACGAGCACTGATTTGGCTGCGCTGGTGAGCACTGATTGAGCTGCGGCAGTGGGCAATGATTGAGCTGCGGCGGTGGGGACTTATTGGGCTGCGCTGGTGAATGGTTCAAAAGGCCAATTGACTGGACTTGCCCCCCAGGCCTAAGGCTGCCAGCTCTCCCCTGGCTGCGCTTGACTGGCTCTCCCTCCCTCAGCTCCCTCACTTGCCCCTCGGCTCCACTCCCAGTGATATTCCCGTGTGCTGAGTAAATGATAGAGGGGTAATAACAGAGTGATCTCTGATCTCTGGAGGAGCTGCCTGCTGTTTTCCCGTGCTGGTCAGTGACAGACAGCCGAGGAGTAGGAAACCCAATTTAAATGACAGTAAGTGCATTTATATTCTGATTGCTATTCAATTATATGAGGTTATATGTTGTATGTTGTGTAAGCCCCGGTTCATACTGTTGCGATCTCTGAGCAGTGCGAGTTCAGCCATATGCTTGTATGGCTGAACTTGCATTAGATTCGGAAGAAAAAAGGCACATGTGCCTTCTTTTTTCCTGCAGTGGAATCGGATCGCATGGGTCTTCTCCCCCATGCGATCAGATTCCTATGCGAGTTCGCAGATCGCACAGCGATCTGTGAACAAAACTGCAGGTGTAATTAACTTTGTAATGGCACCCGCACCAGTGTGAGCCTGGGGTAAAAGCGGAGTTCCCCCAATCAGACTGCATTGATGGGCAGTGCAGTCTGTATGTCTCTGTGTGGGCAAAGTTATTGCTGGTATATTGTTTTTGTAGCGCTGTATATATATTGGTATTTTACTAATATAAATTTTGACTCCCTAGTAAACAATGATGTCAAGAAAGAGAAAAATTGACTCGGAGTGTAGGATATTCAAAAAACAGTGGACTTATGATTACTTTTTTCATGCAGTACTAGGAAAGAGCTGTGTGTCTGATATGCCAGAATATAGTGTCTGTGTTCAAAGAATACAATTTACGTCGACACTATGAAACTCAACATTAAGATAAATATGATTGTTTGGTCGGAGAAGTGAGAAAAGATAAAATATTAAAACTGAAAAATACATTAACAACTCAGCAAAATACTTTTGTGAAGCAGAAGCAGCTAAATATGTCATCACTGCGAGCAAGTTTTCAAGTTGCCAAGCTAATAGCGTGCACTGGCAGACCATTCGTGGAGGGAGAATTTGTTAAAGAATGCCTTCTTTCTGTTGCCAAAGAGATGTGTCCAGAGAAGGCCGATTTATTTAGTACAGTGAGTCTTTCAGGACCTACAATTACACGGAGGATTGAAGAAATGGGAGACAATTTGCATCAGCATTTGCAAAACTCCACAAAAAAACTTTCCTATTTTTCCTTGGCACTCGACGAAAGCAATGATGTTCGTGATTCTGCACAACTTCTAATTTTTATTCGTGGGACGAATGACTATGTCGAAGTCACAGAAGAGCTTGCTGCACTGCAAAGCATCAAAGGAACGACTACAGGAGAGGATATCTATGAAAAGGTTTGCCAAACTGTGAATGGTTTGGAGCTGAACTGGGCTAAACTAGCCAGTGTGACAACTTATGGTGCTCCTAGCATGGTGGGGTCTAAGAAAGGAGTAATTGCTCGCTTTAACCAAGAGATGGACAAACATAACCATTCTCATCCAATAGCCATACACTGCCTCATCCACCATCAAGCGCTGTGTAGTAAATTACTGAAGTGGGACTCTGTTAACTTCATTAGAGCTCATGCACTAAACCACAGACAATTTCAGGAATTTTTGTCTGAGCTAAATGTTGACTATGAAGATGTTCTGTACCACACAGAAGTCCGTTGGCTGAGTCGAGGAAGAGTTTTGAAACGTTTTTATGACTTACTTCCACAGATTACAGCTTTTCTGTTTTCTAAAAACAAAGAAGTACCAGAGCTCAATGATGCAGAATGGAAATGGCACCTTGCCTTTCTGACAGATGTAACAGAGCTACTCAACAGTTTCAATGTGCAACTTCAAGGAAAGGGGAAGCTCATCTGTGATATGCAATCACATGTCAAAGCATTTGAAGTAAAATTAGGCCTCCTCATCAAACAAATGAAGGAGGAAAACTTCTGCCATCTCCCCACAACTCAAAATCTGTTAGCGGAAAAACCATTGGTTGCATTCCCAAACAAAACATGTGTGGATTCACTGGAAAAATTGCAAAAGGAGTTCCAATTTAGATTTAAAGAGCTTCATCTCCATGAACAGGACATACAGCTTTTCCGTAACCCATTTTCTATTGACATTGAAAATGTGGATACAATTTACCAAATGGAACTGGCTGAACTGCATTATTGTGACTCTCTGAAAGACGCATTCAAGTCAAGCAGCCTTCATAATTTCTATGCATCTCTCCCCTCTGAGACATATCCTCATCTCAGGAACCATGCGCTCAAAATGGCAACCATCTTTGGCAGCACTTATGTCTGTGAACAGACTTTTTCCAGAATGAAACATTTGAAATCTCCAACCAGATCTAGACTAACGGATGCACACTTGCATCACTTGTTACGACTAGCAGTGACAAATATGGAACCGGACATTGACCATCTCATTAGCCAAAAGCAGGCCCATAGTTCCCATTGAAATACTGGCAAGTTTGTTGATTTAACTTTACTTGTTCTTCATTTTAAATATTGTATTTGTTCCCGTTTTGTTTCTTCACTTCAAAATAAGATATATGCAGTGTGCATAGGAATTTGTTCATAGTTTTTTTTAACTATAGTCCGGCCCTCCAACGGTCTGAGGGACAGTGAACTGGCCCCCTGTTTAAAAAGTTTGAAGACCCCTGCTCTAAACTCATGTTAATTCTACATGTAGTGGTAAAAACTGGAGTAGCTGTAGAAAATCCACGCAACCGCGGGGAGAGAAGGACACGCAAAATCCAAATATACAGCAGGCATCAGGGTTGGGATCGAACCCACGAACTCCTGTATACCAGGCGAGGCAGTTAACATCTCCTCACCATGGGGAGAGAGACATGCAAACTCCAAATATATAGCAGGTGTCAGGGTCTGGATCGAACCCACGACCTCCTGTATACCAGACGAGGCGAATAACATCTTCTAACCACTGCAGCAGCCCAACTAGTCAACCAGGTCTGTGCACAGTACTTGCGATGTTCTTATAAAATAGTCACGGTCAAGAAGGCAGTTTCTAACTTGTATTCATGTTGGCGTCAGTGAATGGATGAGTGAGTGAGTTGATGAGTGGATGAGTCAGTGGGTGGGTGGTGAATGTGTGAGTGAGTGAGTGGGTGGTGGATGACTGCGGTAGTGGGTCAGCGAAAGAAAAAGAGGGAGTAGGGACGAAGATTAAAGTGGAGGAAGGAGTAGGAAAAAGATGATTCTGGAATGGTTACCAAAAGGCACTCACCACGCGGTGAGCAGACGTACTGAAGCCTCGTGCAGCAATTGGCTCTGGGATGCCTTGCCACGGCCCCATGGCAACTGTCATCACTGCAGTAGTGGGGAGGGTCGTGCTCTCCCGTGACCGGCATCCCTGCAGCCAGCTCATAGAAAAGTGGTCAGCCTAGGCATCCCTATGGGTCTGTGTGAGTCTTTTCGTTTCTGTGTGAGTCTGTGCATGTCTGTGTGACTCTATGCGTTTCTGTGTTAGTCTATGGATTTCTGTGTGAGTCTATGGGTCTCTATATAAGTTTACAAGCGGGAAGTACCCGGCGTTGCCTGTGGGAAAATATATTTTAAAACTTATCTTAAAACGTAACATATACTTACACAAATACTAAGCTATTGTGAATGTCCGGCGTGCCGTTTGTCCATTTGTCCGTAAACAAAATTATACGAGGCTTACATAAGTCAAAAAAGTTATATAAAGTGGGGGGTGAATAGTTGATGTAAAAGGTTTCCGAAAATTGTCGACCGCCCCCCCCCCACGTAAGCATATACTGTATACCTACACACCCTACATACAATAGGGTATCTAGTGACTCTATAGTAGTATCTGACTCTACAGTAGTATCTGGATCTACAGTAGTATATACTGACTCTATAGTAGCATCTATTAACACTATAGTAGTATCTACTGACTCTGATGTTGTATCTAGTGACTATACAGTAGCATCTACTGAGCCCAGAAGTAGCAACTGACTGTATAGTAGTATCTACTCACTAGTAGTAGCTACTGACCGTAGTAGTACCTACTGACCCTACAGTAGTATCTACCGACTCTATCGTAGCAACTACTAACTCTATAGCAGGATTTGCTGACTCTATAGAAGTATCCACTAACTCTGCAGTAGTGTCTAATGATTATAATAGTACCTACTGGATTTATAGTAATATCTATTGTCTCTATAGTAGTATAATGTGAGGATATATCCGGGTTGCTGATGCATCACACCTCGTTACGATGATTGGCTCTACCGGTCCTGGCCCATTGCCAATGGGGGGAAGTCTAGGGGCGTGGCCCTGACGTAATGGGAAGGTGACATCTGTAAATAGAGGATTGGATCTGCTGGCTTTAGCTACAGCCAATGGGGGGACGAGTCAGGGGCGTGGTCCTGGGAACGTACGATGGAGTCTAGAAGATTCCATGGAGGTTAACCAGGATTGGTGGAAAAGTACCACGTGACCCGGGTATTAAAAGGGGTGGAGACTGACAACACGTGGTCAAATCTGGAACGAACGGAGGGTGAGGCCACGCTGGAGCGGGGTCCAGGCTGCCACGTGGCCGCGCATCTCTCTCTCTATCCCTCTCACGTGTTGTGAACGAAAGACAAATAAAGACCGGATTCCAGAAGTCGCTTCCATGACCTTTATTACATTGGTGACATAAATGCTTCTTGAGACCGTTTGGACAATTATTAGAAAATGTCCAAGCACCTCAAGAAAAGAAACCCACCGGATCCTCCGTCGGATGAAGATGTCGAGGCAGACGAGGAAGAGCTGCTGGGAGCCACGGGTCCTCTACCGCCGTCTGCTGCTCTCCCCGACGCCGCGCATCGACGACAGGCTGGCGAGGCGACATCTCCGGCTGCGGACGAGGGGTGGTGTCGGGTGGCGGATCAGATAGAATCGCTCCGTGCGATCCTGCTAAATCTTGCAACGGCGGTCGCGTCATCAGCGGCCCTCGGTCGGCCGCGTGGAACTCACCCAAGGGCCAATGACCAAGATCTTCAGCGGGAAACGCCGTCCGCCATTACTCCTGCCACGGAGGGGGAGGCCTCCATCTTGGGCGGGGCTGCTGCCACGGGGCCACCGGATGCCATCTTGGGCGGGGCTGCTGCCACGCGGCCGCCGGACGCCATCTTGACGGAGCCACGTGCTGCGCGGGGAGCGGGATCTGACACGCCCAAGGCCTCGGATATTCACCGCGGCCATTGCCTTTCTCAAATTAAAGAATTTGTCACCGGGGGCGACTGGAGCGCGTTCACGTGGCGGTTCGAGTCAGCCTTTCGGTCGGTGCGATGGACGGAGGCAGAAGCGCTGGAGGCTCTGCCCACGCTACTGGATGACGTCTCCTTGGTAGTCTTCCGCTCCATCCCGGCGAGTAAGAAAAAACGCTGCGTGACGCTTTCACGGAAATGGCGGAGTTCTATGAGCCGCCGACGGTGGCTACCAGGAAATTCATGCAGCGGCGTCGAGGAGCGGATGAATCGCCCTTGGCCTACCGAGGGGCGCTGTTGGTGATTGCCATGGCCGCCTACCCCGATTCGTCAGCCGATCTCCTGGATCCTCTCATCCTTTCTAGAATGATTGAGTTGTCCCAGGAACTTAACATATCATTGCCGGTGTGCGGCCACGAACCGCTAACGTCTCGATGGGCAGCGCGTTGTTTGGACTCCAAGTTCAACCTCAAACGCTGGGACCAGATGGCTGCATGGACGGGAGATCCTGAGATAGATGGGCCACCGTTGGGATGGGCTCCACGTCGTGTCGTCCACGGCTCCAACGACTCCAGCGACGACGAGGTGATGGCAGCCATTCCTCGCTGGGTCCCGAAACGCCGGCCACGCGAGCAGCGTGATGGGGCCAGGCGTCCACGGGCAGGGACCGGGGCGACCGACCGCCGGGCGGCAGCCACATGTTTCAAGTGTGGCCGACGAGGCCATTTCGCCTGGGATTGCCGCTGCCGACTTCAACCTCCTCAGGTTTCGTCGGGCCGACTTCCATCTCCTCCACCAGACACGGATCCACGGCACCCTCGGGAAAGTCGGCACATATCGGACACCCGGCAGGTCTTGACACATCATGCATCCACTTGCACCCATGTTTGCACTCCTGAAGGGAATTGTGGGTCACCTGGGTCGATGCCACACTCGGTTATACAATGGAAAAAATTTGGCTCGAAGGGTGGTGGCAGCCGCGTCGGGGTCCTCGACGGTACAGGGTACTTTCGATGGGATCGATGTCCGTATTTTGGTGGACACCGGCGCGTCTGCAACCATCATTTCCGATGTTATTTTTCATCTCCTGTCCATTCCTACATCGCGGATCCGACCGGCTAACGCTGCATGCGTTGCTGCGAATGGGGGTAGCATGGGTATTTGGGGCGAGTAAATGTCCGCATTGCTATAGGGAATATCACCGCGGTGGGACCAGTTTTGATCTCGCGTTCATTGGCCGTCCCATGCTTATTGGGCACCGATTTCCTTCGTCGGATGCCCGTTAAAATACTCGTTGATCAAGGTTGCTTGGAAATGCCAGGGGGCCATAGAATGTCTTTCCTGCCGTCCCTGCTGGGCCGTTCGCCCCCAGGAAACACTGTTAATGCGATTGTTGCTGTCATGGTAGAAGTACCATCAGGCTCACAAATGCTTATTTTGCTGCATTACCGAAAGCGGTTGGAAGCCGCGGACGATGCGATGGGTGTTTTGTTGTCCCCGTCGAACTCTGTGGCAAAATCCTTTTCCCTAGTGGCGGCTCAAACTATCGTTCGGCCTGGTCAGGCCCCATTTATACAAGTGTTAAATAGGGGCCCGGACCGGGTCGTCGTCCCAGCTGGCTCGGTGTTGGCTCACGCCACTACCGATTTCACCAGCTTTGAGAGCGACCAACCCACAAAAATGGCCGCTGGCACGCCACGATCCGATCGTTCAGACGATCGATGGATCGCAGAATTGTGCGGGGAAAATACGTCCTTGTCGGCCACGCAGTGGAGCGCCTTGCATTCACTATTGTCGGAGTACGCTGACGTTTTCGGTAAAAACGATTTGGATTTGGGCCATACCTCGCTCTTGTCGCACAATATCGACACCGGTATGGCGGGACCGATTTGTATGCACCCGCATCGCATGAGCCCTGCAGAAAGGGAACATGTGTGTGGCGCGGTAGACGATATGTTGGCGGCCGATATAATTTCGCCGTCCAACAGTCCTTGGGGCACGCCGGTGGTGTTGGTTAAAAAGAAGGATGGCGGAACGAGGTTTTGTGTAGACTTCCGCCGATTGAATAAGATATCCGTGGCGGATGCATACCTCTTGCCACAGATGGACGACTCGTTGGACGCTTTGTCGGGGGCAAATTTCTTCTCAACCCTCGACCTGTCATCTGGGTTTTGGCAGCTTCCCCTCGATGACGCATCCAGACCGAAAACGGCGTTCCACACGCCGCAGGGCCTCTATGAGTTTAACTGCCTACCTATGGGCTTGAATGCAGCACCGGCGACATTCCAACGCCTGATGGAACTGGTGCTAGCGGGGCTGCAGTGGGAAACGTGCCTCATATATTTGGACGATATCATCGTATTCAGTCGCACCTTCGAAGAAAACCTCCAACGACTGGAGACTGTCTTTCAGAGAATGCGGTCGGCTGACCTAAAATTTAAACCAAAGAAGTGCCACCTTTTGCAACGATCTGTCTGCTACCTGGGACACATCGTCAGCTCTGACGGTGTGTCCACGGACCCTCAGAAAACGTCGTGTGTCCGAGAGTGTCCACGCCCACTTCAGTGGGCAACGTACGGCAGTTTATAGGGTTCGCATCCTACTATCGCCGATTTGTTAAGAATTTCGCGATGCTGGCTAAGCCGCTGCATGTTCTGACGGGGAAGAATCAGAGATTTAAATGGGGCCCGGAAGAGGAGCGCTCTTTTCAATCTCTCCGGGATCGCCTGGCCACCGCTCCGACACTCGACTGCCCAGACTTTCCCCAGCCGTTCATCCTTGACACGGATGCTAGCGACATCGGCATAGGGGCCGTTTTGTCACAACGGAAAGATGGGGTCGAGCGAGTGGTGGCATACGGCAGCAGGGTTCTGTCTCCTGCCGAGACGCGCTATTGAGTGACGCGACGGGAATTGCTGGCAATCGTACATTTTGTTCGCCAGCACCGGCCGTACTTGTATGGAAGGAAATTCCTTGTGCGCACTTACCATGCTGCCTTGCAATATTCTTTGAAATTGTCAATTGGCTCGGTGGTTAGAATCGCTGCAGGAGTTTTCCTTCAATATCATGTACCGCAAGGTACGCTCTCTCTAGGTTGCCCGCGACTCCTCCCTGCGCCTGTCTGATGGGTACGCACCGCTGTGCGGCGCTGCCT